TAGGGTCAACTTTTACCCAAGCATGTAAATAAGCCTTTCATCCTACTATAGGGACATTTTTAGGAAAGCTGGAGTGTTGATGTGGGCATGGCCTTGCTGCTCAATGGCCCATGCATTGTATTCAAGCGCTCAGATGTTCTTCCAGAGATGCAAGTGATGAACTTGAAACTGCGCACCTTGTCATGAGCTCGCATTTTTGGTGGCGGATAAGCAACACGTAGATCGAGATAGCGAATTCCACGTTCAAGAGCTTCACGAATCAAGTAACTGGAAAGTTTTTGTATTTAATGACTAGATCTGCTCTTTCAGGTGACTTCTATTATACATGCAGAGGCATTTCTGCTGTTTTCACAAAAAAAAAATCATAAAATAACATAATAAATAAACAAATAAATAAAAAATAAATAAATAAATATATAAATATAAAATAAATAATAACAATAATAGGTCATAAAAATCTTTCGAAAAGCCAACAATACACGAAATGATTAAACTGGTCGAACCTTTGACAAATAGCCCATCTTTTGATACCCGCTTTGATGCATGGCCCTTTGGCTACTCGTCGAATAAAACCCGACAAGTCACCTGCTACTGGACCCTTCTTATCGAGTTCTTGGGTCGCTGCCGAATCATGTGAGCCTGAAGATGGTTTACTGAAGAAACGGTGCAAGATTCAGCATAAGAGAGTCTACATCAATGATAACTGGACGGCGCGCAAAGCTGAGAAGCTGTGCTTGTTCATTACAGGTACATGAATAAGTTTCGGAGTATGAAGAAGGTCGTGCTTCAATCTACACCCTTGTCTAGAGTCGCGCTCAAAAGTATTTGACCGAATGCTTTTTCGACAGTGGTTTTTTGCTGGATCAACTAAGTTCAAATTCTGATGTTTTGAAGACAAGCCTTTTTTCTGAGTTAGCATTTTCGTTTTAGGAGACAGAAAGAAGAGTGAGAAAGTTATTACAGAAAACATCCGAGTATGACAAAAGTTCACGTGAATTTTGAATAATTATAAAATGCCATAGAACAATCGACCGACGATACACATTAAAGGAGGAATTCACGATAAGAACGAAGGTCAAAGAAGGGGAAAATTGCATAGTTGGGAGACAGGCGGACCTCCTGAGGGTGCTGACCGACGCGCAATTGGCAGCGAAAGATTTGACCTCGGCGATCTAGCATGGCTCACTCTTGGCGCAGTTGGCGGGGTACGCCCACCGACTATCTAATCACTCGCCGTAGTGTTGAAGAGGGCACAGCGATGAGTCGCATCAATGCGCAAATCAACGGGCAAGGAAGGGGTCCCATTTCTCGGGTTTCGGGCCGTTTCAAATGGTTTCTTCTTCATCCCTGCTCCACTGACCACCTCTACCCTTATTTCCAATGAGCTAACTTTTCATCGTAAATTCTGCCTTTGAAGGCATGCCGTGCTGTCGAAAACGCTCTTGCACAGTAGGAGTACGATGCTTATAGTCCCTCTATTGCTATAAGACGAAGTTACTACCATACGGGCGCCTCACGTGTGGTTACACAACATCATCTATAGTCCACCTAGATACGTCCACATTCACCAGTGTCAACCTTCGAGCCGTTCTGGGATCAAATTCAAGATTCCGCCGTTGACAATCCGTTCCATGCGAACACCACCGATAGTGCGCAGAGCTCCAGTCATAATCAGTTCATAAGGCCCATGTCCCGCCTGTTCCATAGGGCCTATACGGGTTTACTATGGGAGGAAGTGACTCTTTAGGTGATGCCGAATTTCGTGACAGACAAAAACTAGCAGGCAAAGCTGATGTTAGGAAAGTAGGAGATTAATACAATACCATGTAAACGTAAACGAAAGGGTGATGGACATAACCAAGGGAACGAGGTATCGAAGTAATCTGGGGTCGCTCTAAATCCATGAACAAATCTGGCTACGCATAGTGACACATGCGTCAAGCGGGATTCCAGCAACACGAGGTGGGCAACTGAAATAGTGCGAACCAGCCTCATGCGTGCTTACCAACAGCTTTTCACCTTCTCCCTTGTGATCTCCACTTTTTTCTCGGCTCCAAGCCGTCCCAAAGAAGGTGTGCCAAGCTCGCTCCGCCCACCTTGGTACAGGCCACAACCAGTAATTGCATGGCACTTCCTTGCCAGCCTCTAACCAATTTCCCCCTTCTCCAGGCCTTCTCAGATGCGATTTATGAGGTTTCGGGGCAAACTTCGCCCACTGCGATGCACGCACCGCATAAATGGTTTGATTTCCGCTCTTTTGCTAGGTTGTGCCCTTCTCTACCCTAACTCTGGGCATTCTCAAATCGAATCGTAAGGATTTTGCAGAACGCTACATAT